GGTTGGACTCGATGATCTTAGAGGTCTTTTCCAACCTCAATGATTCTATGATTCTATCTGAGCAGGTACGTTTATCTTAGATGCTCTTCCACAGGGCCCTTTGGGAAGAGGCAAGCTAGTGTTTCGACTTTAGATATGTCCCGCCTATAACAACAGGATCCCCTAGGAAAGGGCTGCTGGCAGCTTTCTTCCTCCCTTCAGATAGCAACAGAAACGGTGAAATACCACTATGGGCCAAGCTGATGTCTAGCTTAAACACATTCGCAATACTTCTCTGCTTCAGCAAGCTTCTTAATTAACAGGCTGTAGCATCATTTGGCCTTTGAGGAAATGGGCAGGAAAGTACTAGTATGTGGAGGAAAGGCTGAGAAAACAGATGAATCCCCAGCATAGGTCACACTATGGAGAACATTTGGAAATTGCTGACATAAAGGAGACAATAATCTGTGTTATTAATTGTGCTGAAATAAAAAAGGGGATACAATTAATTACATGTAAACCTGCAAGTGATAAAGTTCCTAAAGGAACTCCTACCTCAGGCAATTTCTTCTCCCTGAAGATCTCGGAGCTCAATTCTATTTTATAACTTAGGTCTTGCTTGCTTTTATCCAGGTCTCAACGATTTGGCATGAAAACACAATCAAATGATGCTGACGTTTGCTATTGATTCACTCACTATAAATTGGGTCCTTCTAGGGTGGCTGCATTAAGAAAAAGCAAGTGCTATGAGTATGAGATACAAGCATATTTGCTGTACAGGAATAATTCAAAATGTCCCTGTGGTTAAAGACAGGATATTGCCTCCTACCACTCTCCCCTGTAAACTTCATGGCAGATCTTGGGGTGAGCTAGGATTATTTTTGCAGATACTGTTCCTGGCTTACTGTTTCTCAGTCTGAGTGTGTCAGAAGACAGATGGAATGAACATGTCTGACTGAGGTGGCTTCATTGTTAGCTGAAGTGAGTAACAACAAAATAAAGGCCTTGGGATTTTGTCTCTTTCATCTTATAGGGACCTGGCAGCTAAACAACTGCTGCTTAGCATGGGAAAATGCTTCCTTGAGTTTTTACATGCTGCCATGAAGTAAGAGTTCATGGTGGTTCAGGAATATCTATTTATAAGAATTTGTGCTCTAGACCTGTTCTATGTTGCATCAGACCAAACCAGTATTTGTCGGCTGTCACTGTTTCCAACCAATTTTGATTCAGATGCACCCACTCTGAAGGGGATTTAAAGCCTCTTCAGAAGCTGATGGATATCTTCCCATACTCAACAGTTACGTTCCTTGGGTTGTTTCTTGTATCTCTTGGCACTCGTATATTGCAAAAGCTACTAAGCTTCTATCTCACACTATATTCTGTTTATGTGATAATAAAGGTGTATCCACTTTCTAGTGACCTCATCATATTTGTTTTCTGGGGTCCTCCTCCCTCAATTAGTTTCTTTACTTTTCACCCTCTTCACCCTTCCTTTCCTAGAGACAAACTGCTTCTTGGCTTCCAGCTGCATACCATTATTTGTTGCTGTAATTCTTGAGTGTTTGCAGTATGTGTAATTAAGGCCTCCTGGGACCAAAACTAGCAGAAAGAACCGGGAAAGTTCATTACTATCACTACCACAGTGTAAGGTCTTTCAAGAAGGTGTCTGAGGTGCTACCAACAGAAAACAAGAT